TCGTGGTCGGATTTGTTCATGGACTAAATTGGTCCCTTAAGACAACAGTCTTGAAGTATATTAGATAGGTCTGGATATGAGTCATGCAGCCTAGATCGTCTCAATCAGACCCCATCTGAACTTGGGCCAGGGGCGGGATCATGAATTTATAGCATGCATCAATAACAATAAATTATAAAGTCGTCCCTTTTTGTTTACAAAAAGAATTAAATAGCCTCTCTATTTTGGAATATAATTAATTAGTCCCTTTTATTCATTTCATGTTGTTTTTCAATTTTTTTTATGTTGAGAAATAGAAAATTAAAAAAATAAGTCAATAATACAAAATAAAGATATTGTTTGAAACAAAATAACACTTAAATTAAATATAATGAACATGGATCAAAAGACTAATTAATTAGTGTTTAAAACGAAAGATAATATTTAATCTATTTTGCAAAACTAGAATGAATGATTTCTTTATTTATAATTTAATATATTTCCTAGTGTTGCAATTATTGCCCTTTATGATTGTTGTTATCTATTTTTGAGTTCCCATACAAAAATGAGAAAATACAAAAACAAATATGAAAATAAATATTTGGAAGAAATCTAAAAAATAATAAGAGCGAGAAAAGGATGTTGGAATATCGAAAAATGATAAAAAATCGATTGAGGTTCAAAAATATAAGAATTAAAATTTTGACAGTATATTTTTTATTGATGAGAGCCTTGGGATAAGAAAAACTTAATTTGAGAAAGAAAAGTCCAAAATCAAATGTTTATGGACTCCATGAAATTTTATGCAAGGTTTAATTAAATTTATGAAGGGTTTGATAGTAAGAAAATTGATTTTTTAAGTCAATTTAGATTTTTATTGAAAAAAATTAAAGTTCTAGGTTTTAATTATAACTTTAAAGAGTTGATTTGGTCAAATTAGAAGCTTAATTGCATAATTATTGAAGTTTGATGGCTAATTAGAAACTTAATTGAAACAATCTGAAACCAATAACTAAATCATAAAAAGCTAAAATCAAGGAGTCTAATTAAAATGTTTCTGGGGGGCTTGATTACAAAATTCATAAACATTCAAAGATCAAATGGAAAATATTATTTAAAATTATAAAACTGCGTCGTTTCACTCAGTAATTGTTCACTTTCTTCAGAAGACGTTACATACAGTTGGGGGAGAAACGGTTGCAGCAGCGAAGGCGATGATCAAGGGGGCATGTTTCACAGCCGATATCTCTCCGCCCGATACTCCATCCCTACAAAGGAAACGCTTGCATCCTCTGACTATAAAATCCAGAGGATGTGCTGCACAAAGGAAGGGTAAGAACGAGACAGTGAGGAGAAAACAGAGAGAGGATAGTGTAAGAGAGAAAAGGAAAACTAAGAGAGGGAGAACATAAGGAACAGAGGAGTAGGAGAGGAGATAATACAATGGGAATACAGGAGATTGAAACACAAAGGACGGCTGCACGAGGAGATAGAAACAGAAGAACAAGAAGAAACTGAGCGGCCGAGCAAAGCTCACAAACAGCAGGGGAGGTCAGCATCCACCACCGGTTTCCTTTCTCTAGGTATGCTCATTTCCTTTCTTTGCAAAAATTTATGCATGTTTGTCTAGAGAAACTAAAGGAAAACAGAAGACAAAAGAAAAGCCTAAAGATCGCCATGCACTCTGCAACCAGGGGTCTTCATTTTTATTTTTTTTTGCTATCTGCAAAAAAATTACCTTCACACTTCATGCACCCATAAAATTTTACATGTGTATGTTTTAGTTGGGTCATTGATTTAGACCAGTAATCAGGTGGAGGGGTTCAGTCTAGCTACATGGGTCGAGTTGAATTTACTCTGGGTTGGGACTAGCCAATATATATATATATATATTAAAAAAAATTCTTTTAAAAAACTTATGATTTTCTGCAAATATTTTATTATATTTTTAAATTATTGGTTTGCATTTTTATACTATAAAGATGTAAATTCAGTATTAAAATATTTAGTTTTTGTAAAAATAAAAAAATGAAAAAAATGAAAAAAATCATTTAGTTTTCATAAAAATAAAAAAATGAAAAATATAAAATAAAATGTTTTGTTTTTATGCATACGATCAAGTCTTTCAAATATATATATATATATATATATATATATATATATATAAAATCATATTGTATTTTCAAATAATAATTTTTTTTGAAAAATATATATTAGCATGTATTTTGGTTTTAATAACCAATTTATTAAAGTCACGAGAACTGAATAAATATTTCAAAATTTTCAAAAAAAAATATTTTGTTTTCTTTTAATATCTAGAGTTACTACTTTATACCTAAGATATATTTCGGATATTAAATTATTTGTTGATGTTAGAACTATTAGGTTTTACTCAATAAGATAAGGATTTCTTTATCGAAAAAAACTTTTTTTAAACCATAGACAAACTAACAACTAAAAAACACAACAAAACCTTATATTTTATTAGACAATAAAACAATACAATTTATCTTAGGTGAGACATATTTAGAGTGCTACTACTTTCTCTTTACACAACCAATCTCCGTATCAATTTCTAAGACTAGTTAGGGTTTCCAATGACCAAAATACTAGGTGACGACTCTCATTCTATTTTTCCACTAATAAAAGATAAGAATTTTTTTGTCTCCCTGTATTTGCCAGATAGACATTAGATACTATTCTGAGAGGGGATGTGTTTTCGCCGCGATGCCACACGCGTGTGACAATGACCCTACAAAAGACTATTTTATTTATTTTGGACTAATTCTTATTTAGTTTTATACTAGATAGGTGTTTCGCGTTACACCATTAGCTGGCTTAAATTTTATCTAACATAAAAAAAAAAAGACATCTGGGTGATGTTAATCCGAGTCAATCCAAGATAATTTGACCACCATGTGATCCGGGAGATAAGATTAGAATAGCCCTTCAGAAAAAAATAAAAAATATCACAAAACTCAAGGCCAGATAACCTAATATCAAGTAATAAAATAAAAAAAATCAATTTTAAAAAAATAAAACTCTAAAAAAAAAAATTGAGTTAACTCAATTAATCCATAACCAGCAATATGAGATCATATAAAAAAATATTAAAAAAAGGACATGAAGAAAAAGACTAAAGTTAAATCAATTAAATAAATGTTGGAAAAAAATTGAGTTAACACAGGTTAATTTGATTAACTCACGATCTCAGATAATTCCATAACAAGAAAAAGAAAAAGTCAAGAGAAAATAATCTAATATCAAATAATAAAATTAAAAAAATTAATTTTAAAAAAAATATAAAAACATAAACCCAAGCTTATTTATTTATTTTTTATGTGGCGAAAGCTTGATTTTTATGTGGTGAAGGTGGCGGAGCGACTGATGCATGCCATCAACTTTTTTTTTTATATGCACAAAACCAAAAATGTCCCTATGACTAAATAATAATAACAAAAAAACTCTTGTGAAATTATAACAAAGCCGTTGAAGCCAAGGCTAAAAAATTTAAATGGTAAGGGTAATGGAGTAATTCAATTGTTTATAAAATTATATAAAAAAATAAAAATCCTCCTAGAACTAGATAACAAAAACAAAAAAAAATTATTAGAAAATAACAATCAAGCCCCTAAACCAACACTAACAAATTTGCATAAATAAGGTTACTTGTGTAATTCAACTTATCATAAAAAAAAAATTTACCATATGGCTCTTAGATTAAAGTTCTGATTATTTATTTTTTAAGAATAATACAATAATTGTACTGTTATTAAAAAAATAAAAAGACAATACTATCTCCAAACAAATCAAGAATGACAAAATAGTTGTGTGCAAAAATTATCCTACCAATGATAATTTTATTATAGCTATAGACAAATTTAATTGTTGATTAGCTACAGTGAAAAACCTATGCAATTTAATATTTTAGTTAATAAAAAACACACCATTAATATAATTAACATTTTTTTTTTTGTCAAGCATGAAATTCTATGTATTTTATAACATAATTTCTTTGATTTGATTTCAAGTCCATAAATATGTGAGATTTTTTTAAAATTTAAAATGTGAACTTGCCTGATAGATTCATCTGAGACCTTTCTATTTGAGGCTCAGACTAATTTAGAAAAAAAAAGAAGAAGAAAGAGAATAAGGTATTAACCTGGCTTGATCTTATTGATAAATTAAATAGATCCATGACATGGTAAACTTAGATTAGAACCCTATTGTGTTGATTTATTTATTTTCAAATGAAATTTAATTAAAATAGTAATATTATTTTTTTGAAATAAAAGTTACCTCTCCTGATTATTATAATTTGGAATTTGCCTCGAATCAACCTCATGTTTGATTTTATAACTATGGTGATAAAGCTTCCTAGCTTTGAGCCGAAATCTATTTGCTATTCCAGCCACTCATCTGAGCGGGTAAATCTTCATAAATTCTACCCCCTCTTATAATTAATGCTCATCTGGTCTACGTTTTGAAAAAGCTTCCATGGATACTGACATACTGTACCATCACATGGCCACAAAGTTGATCAACGAAAGCCAACCTATAAAGAGTGTATGTCTGTCAGTTTACTTCACCAATGTCAGTGGAGAATGCACGGACAAAATTGATTTTCTTGCCTTTTTTTTGGCCTTTTATTTTCATGGGTCCCTGTAATAATTAAAGAAGAGATGTGAATTGAGGGAAGTAAATGGATTAATATATACCTTCAGTCAACGGAAAGTTGAGGGCACTCTCCATTGCAGTGGTCGAAAAAAGTGGAGAGCTAAAGGCTGATTTGGAAGCTCGAGCGAGATTGTGCTGAAATTGAAATTTCAACTTCACGAATTGTCACTTTTTGCTTTTTATTTAAAAATAAATAGAAATATTTTTTTAACATTAATATATTAAAATAATTTAAAAATCGTAAAAATATATTAATTTAAAACAAAAAAATTCGTTTTCTTAGAAAACACGGAAATGAACACACCCTTGTTCAAATAAAAGCCTCGAAAAGCATCTTTCTATCTCCAACGTAGAAGCTACGCCTCTATGTTCAAACATTGAAAATTTTGCCTGAATTCTCTTTTCTACACCCTCCACAAAACAAATTAATTGCCTGAGAGAAGATATCAAAGCCTTAGTTAGTCCCAATCGATTATTTCAGACTAACAATGTTGTTTATATTTTCTTGCATCCTTCTGCACCTAGCTTTTCTAACCATAGCTCAAACGGATTTCTGTTCAAATGATGTAGGTAACTACACCACCAACAGCAGTTTCCAAAGAAACCTCAACAGTGTCCTGTCTTCCCTGGATTCAAATACTCAAATTGACTACGGATTTTACAATCTATCGGTTGGCCAACCTGGTCCTGACCAAGCAAATGTAATTGCACTTTGCAGAGGAGATATTGGAGTAGACGAATGCCAGAATTGTATTAGAAATTCTTCGGGTAAGATCTTACAGGTCTGTCCAAACCAGAAAGAGGCATTTGGAGTTGCTGATACTTGTATTCTACGATACTCCAACAAATCCATATTTGGTGTCATGGAAGAAAAACCAGTATCCATTCTTGTGAACGTGGTCAATGCTACAGATGTGAATCAGTTCAATCAGGCTCTTCAAACGTTAATGAGTAGACTTCGAAGCACAGCTGCTTCAGGGAACTCTCTCCGAAAGTTTGCGACAGGAAATGAAACTGCCGGGTTTGACACCATATATGGGCTTGTTCAATGCACACCTGATCTATCTGAGCCGCAGTGTGATGAGTGCATCGCTGGGGCTATTCGGGTGATTGCAACATGTTGTGATGATGGACAGCTTGTAGGAAGACAAGGAGCGAGAATCACAAGACCAAGCTGCAATCTCAGGTATGAAGTCTACAGTTTCTTCGGATTTACACCGGCCACACCACAGCTTCCAGCTTCGCCATCGCCACAAGCACCATCAGTTCCTCCTCCTCCACCACCAGCAGAAGGTATGCCCTGAAATGTTCTCAATTTCCATGAATTTCAATATTCTATTTGTTGTCTATTTACGCAGCTATGAATTAGCTCTCCCTCCAATTTGTTGTTCCGGTCTATCAATTGCGAAGAACTAGAAACTTAAGTTTTTACGATTGAGATTTCAGTAAAAACATGAATTTATGTTTAAAAATAATTATCTTTTCATTTCCCTTTTATGTTCCATGTTGGATAAGTTGCCACTTTTTCGGCATGAACAGAAAAATAAGAATAAATGATGTCACCCAAATCATCCATCCCCTTTTGTCTTTAAGGGTGTAGTTGTGGTCATCAATCTATTTTTTTCCACTTGCTAACTATCTAATTTAGCACTCAACTTGCCACATTGGTTTTGGCAGGCAAGAAGAGGAACAATGCACGAACTATCATTATCATAGTTGTTTCGACTGTTAGCGTTGTGATACTTATGATCAGTTGCATCTGCCTCTATTTAAGAATCCGGAAGCCGAAAGAAAAAGCTGAAAGTAAGTAAAAACTTGAATGATTAATTATAAGCTCTTATGTACTGTTTGATTAATATATTGAGATAAATGAAACAGATATAATGAGGACAAAAAAACAAAGTTTTCTTATCCTTTTTATTTTAAAAATATATAAATTCATTTCAATTTTTTTTCCGAGATATATTTATTTTATGTTTTCATTTTGTATCTTCCATCATATATATATATATATATGTTGCATCTTGTTTTGTTCTTAAAACATTAACCTAACACAATCTAATAACTTGGTTTAACAAGTATATCATGAGTTGGTAGCTGATAGGTTATTGATGAATTAACTTAATTGATTTCGCAATGATCCAAGCTGACAATTTAAGTTTCTTAAGCTTCAGCTGAAATGTTCATAGTACACACGGGTTTGTGACCAAGTAAAAATATTACATTACTGAGATAGACTGTAGTAGCTAATAATAATAAATCGACTCGCTGTGTCGACCGATTAGACAATTTTAGTTCACATGTAGCTTAAGGCCGCTCCTAAACACCCTAAAGTTACCAGCACTATGTTTTTCTTTCTTTATCTGAACTGTACAATCTTGATTTGATCTGTAATGTTATTGGTTTACTCCAATGCTAGGTAATTCCTGAATAAAAACTTGGCTGGAGTATTCGAGGTCTAATCTTACAATTCCCATATAAAATTTTTACGCTATAAAAATCAAGTCCAGTGAAATTTTTGTTTGGGAATCAGCCAGACTTTATAGAACCAAGTCGGGACCTTTGGACTTCGAACTTTTCCCGTTTTATCATGAGTGACTAGGCACATTTTGAAAGTGCGTATGGCCGTAAAACTTTATATTATATTGTTGTAACGATCGATTTGTCATGGCATGGTATTTGTATATATGAAATATAAATTATAGTATAAGACTATGGAGTGGTCATAGGAACCTCGTAGTTCGAAATCTAATACAGAATATTGGAAGCACCATTAAACTACCCATAACATATTCTATTTACAGGGTCCTTCCTATCTTAGTTAAAGAATCCTTCATTCAAAAAAAAAAAATTAATAAGAAAAAAGTATTTTTTTTCTTTACTGAAATATATATATACATTCAATTTTTGTTAAGGACGTGCAATGAAATTCTATTCCATGTTGCAAGATTACAATAACATATCATGAAAATGCCAATCTAACCTAAGTCATCTTTCCAATATAAGCCGCAATTTAATAAATCTTCATTTTGATTTAAATTGAGACAAATCGTCTTCTACTCGAGAATATTTGAACATACTTCTTTAAGAAATTATATTTGACATTTAACCAATAAAAGTTCTGACGGGCTAAAAATGCTTAAGATGTGCGTTATATTTCCCATGCAAGTGTGTTAACTTGTTTGTTTTGTGAAGCTGGGGATGAAACGATAACACCAGAATCCTTGCAATTCGACTTCAGTACTATTAGAGCTGCAACAGATAACTTTTCTGAGGAAAATAAGCTTGGACAAGGTGGATTTGGTTCTGTTTACAAGGTAATAATTAATTGAATGATATCGATCGTGCAAGAGAGATTCGCATTGTTTGAAATGTAATATTTGCAGGGTACACTTTCTAATGGACAAGAGGTAGCAGTCAAAAGACTTTCCAAGGATTCTGGACAAGGAGATTTAGAATTTAAAAATGAAGTCCTGTTGGTTGCCAAGCTACAACACCGGAATTTAGTTAGACTTCAAGGATTTTGCTTGCAAGGAATCGAAAGGCTTCTTATCTACGAGTTTGTGCCTAATGCCAGCCTTGATCACTTCGTATTCAGTAAGGTTACAAATTAAGCTGGTTTTTTTTTGCTTTCAGAATGGAATTATGTGCAAGAATACTTTAACCTCTACAAAGTTAAATGCATATATACATTTAATCTCATGGAATTATGTTATATCTCTAGATCAAGCGAGGCGAGCACAGCTGGACTGGGAAAGGCGTTACAAGATCATTGGAGGCATCGCTCGTGGACTTCTTTACCTTCATGAGGACTCTCGCCTTCGAATCATTCATCGCGACCTCAAAGCTAGCAACATTTTATTGGATGCAGACATGAATCCTAAAATTTCCGATTTTGGGATGGCAAAATTGTTCGTGATGGATGAAACTCAAGGCAATACAAGTAGAATCGTGGGGACATAGTAAGTATCTAGATAAGCAGAGCAAGTAGTTAGAGTGATTACAATTATGCTAACTTCTTAATGATAGCCTGCTTCAAATAGGGTAGCACAATGAAAACTGAAACTGCTAGAATCATCTTCAAACATTCGAATATAACCATGTTGGAGACTGTATTAATGTTACTCAATAGAAATTGACCTCATCACTAATGTTGATACGCAGTGGCTACATGGCTCCAGAGTATGCGATGCATGGTCAATTCTCAGTGAAATCAGACGTGTTTAGTTTCGGTGTGCTAATCTTGGAGATTGTGAGTGGTCAGAAAAACAACTGTTTTCGTAATGGTGAAACTGTAGAGGATTTATTGAGCTATGTAAGCAGACTCATCTATGGTTTTATAGATGCAACTTCCTTTTCTGCATACAGTCTTGTTTTCAGCTACGCCAGTTTGATAAATTAATGGTGACTGATCAATGTTGTAGGCATGGAGAAATTGGAGGGAAGGCACAGGTCTGAATGTTATAGACCCTGCTTTGAGCACAGGTCCAAGAACTGAAATGATGAGATGCATCCAAATTGGTTTACTCTGTGTTCAAGAAAATATAGCTGATAGACCAACCATGGCTTCGATTGTTCTAATGCTAAGCAGCTATTCTCTTACTCTGCCAGTACCTTCTCAACCAGCATTTTCTATGAACAGTAGCACATATCAATCAGACATATCATCGTCAATGGACTCCAATTCAAGGGTGACTAATTCCTCAGAGGCCAAAACTGAAGCTCTCCCATTGTCAGCAAATGAGGCATCAATTACTGAGTTATACCCTCGTTAATAATGGTCCACGGAAGATCACAACCATATGTTTAAGAAATAGTGTTTTACACACACATTCTTGTGATGCCCGCGTCATTCGTTAAGAACTCAAATGTAGTTTTCACTTTCGGTAGAATGAATTTCTATTTTTTTGTGGTTTTGACATCATGAAATACTTATAAGTTGGATTTACAATATTCTTGTAAAGTGGTAACCTGTCTAAAGTTTATTTGAACTCGATACCTTTATTGATTCTTGTGTTCAATAAAAAAAAAATGTTGTTAGATTCAATTCAGATCCTGTCATGGAATGGGTAGCAAAAACTTTTTTTTTCTCACGACAGTTAAATTATTTTTCATATATATATATATGAAAAATAATATATATATATATATATATCCTTGTATTTTCTTGTATTTTTTTATTAGGAAAAAATACATTTTTTTATTACACTATATTTTTCCTATTTAATATTTTTTATATATTTTTATTTACAAGATTATAATAATTTAAAAAATTGCATATCATAACTCTAATACATAAAAATAAAATTACATAAAAATAAAAATGGTAGGAAATGAAAAATTTATGGTGAATGCACTTCTAAGATGGATAAGGACAAATTAAGTGTCCTTATTGGAAATCTTTGAACCTTGAGGGATGCAATTGAAATGCAAATTTTTTTGGTGATTCAATGTAAAACATAAGTTATATGTTGTATACTAATTTAAAGTTGCCAACATGACTTCTTACCAGTCAGAACATGGAACCTTTTTTTTTTATCCTATTAAAGAGCTTCGCAAATGTTTGTAATGCCTTACAGCTATGAGATTTCTCTTTATGGAAGTAAGAAAGAAAGAGCTGAGGATAGTCAATCTTAACAGTAAGATGCTCCATGATGCCTGGACTGCAACATTACCACGTACTTTGCATTAAAGATTTCCTGGGAACATGTTTCCTATCGGTCATCATTTTATTCTTCGTTTTAAAATTAACAAGTTGTTATAATAACACTAATAATTGTAAAACAATGGTAGCAATTATTAATGAATATTATAATAGGACATTATAATCAATATAAGATTTAATATAGTTTGACAATGTATCTATATTTATAATAACGAAGGGTTTTTATTTTTTATTATATCAAAATAGAGTTAATAATAATTCTAAATTGTTTTAAAAAACCTAATCTTTCAAAAAATCCTAACCATTCAAAGAATATTAATAATTTTTCTTAACATCTTTTTACGGTATCACACGAACGTTGCCCCCAGCATCCCCAACCTAGTAATTATTCCTAGTAAAAAAGAAAAAAAAAATCTACCTATGAGCCACAAGCATAAGAAATTTGACTAAGACGAGAAACATTACCCACCCCAAGTTTGAACTTAAATTTGTCTCGTGATGTTGAATTAATAACCGTACTTGGTGAAGAAAAATACTTACAAGCATAGTCGACTTGATTGGATGTGGCTTTGTTCTTTGATGCTTTAATGAATTCCATTGACTAACAAAAAAAGCAATGGTCTAAAATAGCTTGCTAGCAACTGCATTTCGTCGTAGAAATGTTCTTATTTTCAAGTTTCTATAAGGTCAAGATTAGCCATCTATGGTTATGCTGACATAACAATTAAAAAAAAGACTGGAAATCTTGTTATTGACCATTGCATTTTCTTGTTATTTAGGATTGATTTTTCTAGTTTCAATGATGTAGAAAACCGACTTTGTGGAAGAATTTGGTAAAGAACGAACGAATATAAGAGGTGTTTACCGCATGGTTGATGTGATCGTATGTAATTCAATTTCACCATGGTGAATAGTTTTTAAAATTATATAGTGATTCAATACCCAGTCCAGGTCATCCTTCATGATGATGATCAATTCCATTCAAGTACACTTGGAAGTTGTTTGGTATTGCTCTCTGGCGGGTGAGATTGAGTTAAAACACAGAAATCTAGTCTTTAGTTAAGCATGAACACTATATGAAATTCCGACCAATAAAATTATCAACATTTTTTTTTAATAATAATTTGTAATGATATTTATTCATGGAGTTAAAACCAATAAAATTATCAACATTTTTTTTTCATAATAATTTGTAATGATATTTATTCATGGATGTAAATCAATAAGTAAAACTGTTGATATATACTGACATAATAATTGTATTGATATATACCAACAAAATTATAAACGAAAAATATAGAATTTTAAAAAATAAAAAACAGGTCAATGACATAGAAGTTTTTTAAAGGTGATTTTACTAATAGAATTACTAAGGGACTCAAATCGAGATCTCCATACAATGATGTGACCCTTTTACCGGTAAAATTGCCAATGGAATCACCAACAAAATATTTCCGTCAGTAATTCTATTGGTAAAAGTTCATATTCCATCTAACCATACTTTTCGTTACTATAGATCCTACTAGAAATGGAGGTTCAACCTCCGTTTTGAAAAAGCAACGAACACCTGCTTTTAAAGACCTCTCTCTCACTAATCCATTGACAAGAAAATACCATAAAAATTATGGAGAAATAACTATTGGAAAAGATTCCAAAACAACCCTCGACAGATATGAACATCGTTTCATAACATCATTGCTAACCATTGTTGAGATCTATCATCTCATTCCTAAATTTATTTAATCTTGTTATTCCTCTTTGTTCTCTCCTCGCCTTTTAATGTTCTTTCTTACTTACGTCCTCCTATTTCTTTAAAATTACCTTGCTAGATTCATTCAACTAAAGATAATTTTCAATGATTATATAAGTTCATTCATTAAAGAATAAACACTATAATGATTTTTGTTTTCCAAATTCAAAATTGATATCCCAACACCTTCTTCTTCAAATCAAATCAAATTTTACTTAAATATTTTCCTATGATGTTTTGCTCTCTCTCTCTCTCTCTCTCTCTCTGTGTTGGGGAAACTGAAATGACAACAAGTAAAGGTATTGGGAAACTTATTCTTGTAACAAACACTGACTATGAGTTTCTTTCTTATCTCCATCCAAAAAATTGTTTTAATTAACTATAGATTTTAATTTGTGTGATGCTCAATGATTAGTACCTAAAAGTGCATTTTTATCAAGATTTTATATCATTATTTTTCACTTGAAGTATCAATAACTCCTTAAGTAAAAATCTTTTTGCACTCAAAGTATTAATAACTCCTTATTTGTGCACTCAAAGTATTAATAACTCCTTAACTAAAACATGTTTTATAATAACGTATCTAATAATATAAGATACCTTTAATTTATGGTAAATATTCATTTTAAATGCAGGTCCATCACATAAATGAAAGGATTGATTCATGAATTTAAAGACTGAAATTGAAAGGACAAAAAGATGACCAAACTTAGAAAAGACATGTTGGTGCAATCCATACCGAAACACTGTTTGGTAATTGGATCATATTTAGAGCTATAGATCTCAGATTTTGGTCTACTTTATATGGATA